ATAACATCAACAAAGGGTGTCCTGATGTTATGGGACAGTATACTTTCACTGTGGAAAGAATTTTCACTGACAGCATCATAGATAGAAAAAGTATTGTATCTCAACTTAGAGAGAGGTGAAAAATCTCTAGGTAACCCAAAGAGCTCTACTGACAACAAGAATGATCTTGGAGATGCTTGTGGAATCAGAAAGAAATTATTCCATGAAACCGAGGACAATATAAATATATTACACATTTTTTAGACCTACCACATAGGACTTATCTACACAGATATAAGAGATGAGCTAGTTCTTACAAGATACAAAGAATCTCTACAAATACAAAGATTAAACAGAATTTCTCCCTCAGACTGTAGAGCTCAGAACCTTCTTCACAGAAAATAGAATGTGCTATTTTACTTACTTATTTTAAATGTCTTATCTCATATGGTCAGTGAATCCACGTACATACATCTAACTGATAGTGCAATTATTTTTGCAGTATCTACAAGATTGTAAACAATCAATGTCCATCATTAGGGGACTGTTTAAATAAATTATGTGCCTAATGGACAAATGGGGAAATATGTATATAGCTGTCTTCTTGTATTTATGGACAGAATACCCCTGAGAGAGACCATTATTGGTAATCACCTTTGGTTGGGGGTAGAGGGATACTAGGGGCCAGGATGGGGGCTTTATATTCCCCTTTATATTATTTGAATATTTCCTCCTTTCCATGTTACCTACTAACAAAATTTTCAGGAAAAACACAATATATTATTGAAAGGAATAACCCATCAACTGTCCTGCTGAGTGAGGGAGGATATAAGCAGAGAGTGTCAACTAGGAGTCTCTACAGGGAAGACCCTCATCTAGAAACATTTGCTTCCTTACCATGAGTCTCTTTTTATTCTTATTTTATTTTATTTTATATCCCACCTTCTATCCCAGGAGAAGTCACACAGTGGGAACTCTTTTTCAGTATGGCCAGAGCAATAAACTTAAGCAAAAGATAAAACTGAGTGGAGAGGTAACAGCAAATATTCCTACACCAAAAATAACTCTGCAGGATGACGGTGGATGAGGTGGGAGCCCTGGACGCTAGAGTCCTTCTCAGGGACTAAATGTTCTGAAAAGATTTCTTGAAACTCTAGCAACCTCCTGAATCTTCACCAGAAGAGCATTCAAGGCACTATACTGGAACTCTGAGTTGTTTCATCAAAGTGCTTTTATTTCACTTGCTACTTCCTTGACCTAAGGTAAAGAAAACACTTTGGGCAACTTTCTGATCATCTGTTGCCAATGTTATGTAGCTTTTGCCCCAGTTTCCTGGCTGAGGCCCCCAACCAAAGGTGATTACCAATAATGGTCTATCTCAGGGGTATTCTTTCCAAAAATACAAGAAGACAGCTATATACATATTTCCCCATTTGTCCATTAGGCACATAATTTATTTAAGCAGTCCCCTAGTCCTAGTCCCTTTAATCACAAATACACCGTAATGTTCATGCTCTTGCTCCGAGGCACCCTGGGCCCCCGCAGTGGGTGGCCAGCATGGCACTGACAGAATCCCAGCCAAATCTATCTTCCCAGAACAGGCCAGCTCAGCCACCCTTCTCCTGACTGAGCACTGCCCAGGAGGCCATACGTCCCCACTTGTGTCAGAGAGGCTGCATCTACTGAAGGAGACACTTCCCAGATGCCGAAAACTTCACTTCTAGAAGATGAAAGGTACTATGTTCAAAGAGTTTGAACATTCCAGGAAATATGACTCAGGCCTCAAGCAGAGTTAGAACAGGCAAAGCTCATAAAATCAGTGACCTCACAGAAGCCCAAGAAGAGAGGTACAATTTGTCCACAAAGCCTTGAAAGAGAGGACAGGCCTAATTTGGATCAAAGAAAGTGACCCAGTCACACTGCGAAGCTGTCCACCTTCACTATGGGGAAGCGGATAGGTTCTCTTCCTTCCTGCAAGAGCTTGGGGTCTGCAATCCAGAAAACGCCAGTGCAGTGCAGTGAGACTTAGAGCTGAGCAAAGAGATGAACTTCCCTGTGAGGAAGCAGGATGCACATTGCCCATCTGGCAGCTTTCCTCTCTCCTGACTTTGGCCAACTAACTAAAATCTCAGGTATGAGTTAATTGAATTATTGCTCAGTGATGCATTTATATTAAGGAAAAAAGTCATGAGTGGCAACAATGCCTTGATAATATCAAGCAGGCATTCTTTTGTTCATGGACTGGGAAGAGGAGAGGCAAGTGGCTCAAAGACACGGTTCACCTTGATACAAGAATTACAGGCCTCAAAACAATATGCTGAGTGGAAGAAGCCTGTACATACTGTAGGATTACATGTCTATAAAACTCAAGAAGATGCAAACTAATAAACAGTGGCAGAAAGCAACAGTTCAGTGTGTTTGGGGAGGGGGACAGCAAGATGCCAAGGGGCACAAGGAAATTTCTGGGGCTCATGGGGACTTTCACTACCTTAATTGTGGCAGTGGATGTATATGTCAAAACTTACCAAATTGTACATGTTAAACATGTGCAGTTTATTGCATGACAATTATAGTTCATTGAAGGTAATTTTTGAAAAAGACCAGGTTCAAGCTAAAAAACTGAAGGTTGAAACCTTCTTCAAAAGTCACCGTGGTCCTCCTATTTCTTGAACATGAAGTAATCCAACAGCTACAACTGAACATGAACCAGCTCAAGGTAAAGTTCGTGGAAAAAAAAAAAAGACTGCAGCCAGCCACACATCCCTGACGAAATAATTGCCTCCCGAGGCTCAGGAAAGGGGCTGACTCTGACAGCTCAGCTCCACAAAGCTGCAGCTGTGTAACCAGTTCCAACATGACCTATATTCACCAGCCACATCCACATTCCCAATGTCAACCGGGAGAGGCCCCCACCTCCCATTCATTTAATAACTCAGTCAACGTTAGAGTAAGGCAGGAAGAGGGACAACAAAGGGCATGTTCCCCTCTGGCCTCCAGTGGTGATCCTTGATGTCTAGCCCAAGCTACACAGAAGGAATTGGGTAGAGGGCCCAATATCATCAGGGTGATACAATAAAAAAGATGCTTAAAAAACACATATTGTACAGGACCCTAAAAGATGATCCTGAACTTGGTTCAGAGCTCCTCCGGCCTCTGTCTTAACTGCTGAAAAAGACAGAATAGTAGGAATAACAATGGCCTTCCCAACCATTTCAAACTATTCCCATGGGCTTGAGTCACAGCTATTCATTCTCTGTTGCTGATCCCAGGAAACTCCATAAGCCCCCTACTGACTGACTCCTACCGTGGCCACTGTACCAGGTAGGGACAACATTAACTCACTCATGGGAAGCTCAGGCTTCTTCACAGCCAGTCAGCTGCCTGGTAACTCATCTTCTGTCCTGTCACACAAACACCCAGCCTCCTTCCCACACCTTTTCCTGTGGACTATTATGGTGTATAACCTGGCCCATCTCCAGCCCTGCAGTGCTGCCTGCCCCTCATAATGACCCATCTGAAACCCCCATGTAGACTGCTGCACCCTTGACCTGCAACAATGAGCAAAGTATATGCTCCCTGCACACATGTAGCCTTTGTCTCTGGGATGCAGGTTCCTTGATACCCTGCTGTGTGCCAGAGGCCACAGCTGCCTCTTCTCTGAGTAATTCTTCTGGGGTTTGCATCAGCCTTGCTTTGGGAGGAAGGCTGAGCATCCCTCAAGAGCCAGAACCAGTTTTTAAAGAGGACTGGGTTAGGGATCACAGATGAGATGGAAAAGAGTCTCAAGAACACTTAGAGAAATAAAATGCTTCTTAGCTCTCTGGGCCCAGAGTGAGAAGAGTACCATTCCTTCTCCCAAACAGTATGATGGCATCCTCACTAACTCAAAACAAAGACAAAATGAGACAAAAAAGACACCTAAGTCTCAAAAAGGTGAAAATACAAAGTTTCCACATGTGTTCCTGTGGTAGCAAAAAACGTTCAGATACTTATCTCCATCAAAAACATCTCTATCTCTAGAGAAGTTCAGAGAAACTAAGAAGGGGGATAAAGAAGCAAAAGATAAGGTGGAGGCATGGCATGCCTGTCCTCAGTTCTGATGGCTCAGACTTCAACTTCTTCAACATTAACTTTCAGTGCCAAAGCATTTGATAGTGCTGGTCTGCTTTCCCAGCAACACTGGGAGTTTTGAATATGGAAAGTGCCAGGCATCGACCTGAAAGATCTGGTCAGGGCTGTAGAAGCCTATAAATACAGTTTTTAAAAAGTCTGGGCCAGGGCACTCACACAGCCTGTGGGTAAATCATTGCATCACTGAACACAACCACTTGCCACAGACAGCATTTGGTAAGCAGGGGTTGGAAGGAGTGAGCTGGTGTCTGGTGAATGGCGAACAAGTAGAGAAGGAAGACATTCTAGATCCGGGCAAATAAATTCAAGGCGGAGGAAGTAGAAGGACCACCGGCCAGCATTCTCATGGCTGAGTTGGGCAGGCTGCACTGACCATAGCTGGGAGCGCTGGAGCTCTGCTGGATAGAGAAGGCTCCCAGCAGGAGCAGTAGGAATCAGGGGACCTGGGAAACGAGCGGAGCCGAAGGGGCTCCTCAAGGCGGTCTAGAAGCGGGGCAGCGATGGGGTGTGCCCAGGAGAGATCTGCAAGCTAGTGCTGCTGGCTTTCCCAGAGGCTGGGATTATCCAGGAGGAAAGCGGAGCCCGCATCACCAGCGTGGAGCAGGCATGGGGAAGCTCTAGGGCACAGGCGCCTGGGGACTGAGAGGGCAGCTCCTAGTGTCTCTCAGGGAGGCCTGGATCTCCAGGCGGGAGCAGACTGCCCAGGGGTACAGTGCTAGGGAGCTCCAAGAAAGACGAGGATGGAGGACTGATCCATGCGAACTCGGGGTTCACGAGTGGCTGTAACTCGGCCTGCTGGGGCTGTCCCTCAGGTAAGTGGGAGGCGAGAGGTGAAGTTGTAGAGGACTGGGGCCTCTGGGTCAGGTAGGAGCGGGGCGGGGTGCTCTCACCTGCGGAGCACCAGGAAACTCAAGATTATCAGCAGCAGGAGTCCCAGCGTGCGGCCCGGCCTGCGCCGGACGCTCCACATGGTCATCGCGCAGGAGCGCGTCCGAACTTGCTCCCACTGCAGCCCTCACTCTGCTGAGCAGGGTCTCTGCGCGGGGGCGGGGCCGCGCGCGGGTCGCCTGGGCAACTGGGCCGCGGCCCGCCCGGCCCGAGGTCGCTCATTGGCTGTGGCCCGGCCCGCCCTCGTGCGCTGGGCTCGGCGAGGACTAGCAGCGGGGCGGGGCCTCCAGGGGACCAGCGGGCCGGTGGGTGGTTCCCTTTGAGCAATACCCCCTCCATCTCCACGGGGCCACCCAACGCTCGTCTCTCCACGGCCGCTCCGCCGTCTCCTCGCTCCCCCCGGCTTCCGCCTGCCTCCCGGGCCTCACCGAGGCGCTCCAGGTTTCCTAAGCTGTTTCTCTGCACGTGACGGGCAAGCAGGTGCAGAACTGCCAAGCGTGTGCTACCCGGCCCTTCCACACCGCTGAGCGCAGGGATAGTCACCCCCAACCGTGTGTAATCAGCACGCATGTATTAAAGGCGCTGCAACGTACAACACAATCTTTTAAAACAATTCAGATTTTGAAGAGAAAAGTTATTGATGTAGTGACTTACCATGTGAAACCGAAAGCAGAATTGTCTTCACGTTTGAAGGCTTAGTGTGTGTGATTCAGGCTTGAATAGCAGGGTGAAAGCTGGGGGTAGCACAGGAACATTGTCTGACTTTGGTTTCCACACGTTTCATTTTGATTCCTACTCCCAGGGATGCCGGGGTTCTTGTTCACAAAGCGGAAGAATGAGCTTCACAAACACTTCAAGGTATAAGAGCAAGGTACAGGCTTTTATTTAGAGATAAAGGGGAAGGACAGAGCTCCTGGCATGACAAGAGAGTCCAGGGTGGTGCGTTGCCTAGGGGTTTTATAGGCAGTTGAGGGTTTTTCGAGAACATGAAAAAAAGCTTAGGGGTGTGGACTTATTAAGTGGTCCTAGGATATTTACAATTAACCTGATACCAGTAACCTCTGTTGATTTCTTCCTGAGATACCAGCATCTTGGTCTGGGGGCATAGGAAACAAGGCCACCTACTCAGCCCCCAAGGTGGGCTGAGGCAGTATTTGCTAAAGAGTAAATTAAGTGCAATCATCTTTAAGGTGGAATCCTTCTTGCCTTTTACTATGTTGTTTATGGCTGGGTCTGCATGCTAAATTAGTTTGCCCAGTTTGCAAAATCACCTCATTAGATCTGAAGGAGGAAAGACAGCACATAGGCCTGGGCCTTTTAGCATGTTAAAGTGAATCTTACACATGATTATAACTGATTAGCATAAAATAAACATGTACTACTCTTCTTTATCTGGGGTACACCCACTGATCTCACTGAAGAATGACTCTAACGCTGAATGTTTAACACAGAGTTTTAGTAGGGGGTTTCCTTGCATGTAGTTACATTGCTGTGACTGCAAATATCCTGCCTTGCTTTTTCTGGAGGCCCTCACCCTGCTCTGACTACACCCACGGTCCCTGTCTCACCAGCCCTTTAAATTTTTTTTATTTCAAAAGATACAAACCTCACATTTTTAGGAAAGGAATAAGTTCTTATTCTTTCTGGCCCAGAATCATGTCACAAAGGACATTGTGTATTAGTTGGGAAAAACTTAGGCTTTCTAACAATCACAAACCCAAAATTCCCCAGAACAAAATGCAGATTTTTACTGAAAGAAAAAATCTAAAACATTTTCTAGGGAGGCTAGTATTTTTTCAAAATTAGAGTTTCTAGAAAATATCCTCCACTGTATGTTTTAAAACCATTTTCTACATTTGTACATAGCTTTAAATTTGTAATACTGATAGGAACAAAATGAGATTTTATTTCTTAACAAGGACATGCAGAGTTCAGTGTGAAGGTTCCTTTTTATTTGAACATTAAGCAAATAGTTAAGTAGCAAAAGTTAAACCAAGGAGAGGCAAAAACAAACAAATAAGAGGTATTAAAACAAACAAACAAACCCTGCCACAACGCAGTAAAGATACCAGGGCCAGCAACATTCCTGAAGACATGAAGGGAGCAGAAGCACCCCTGCACTCTCCAAAATCAGTAACTTTTCTCCATTTTAAACACATATAATAGCTTGATAGTTGTTAAGACTATGATGGAAGTAGTTTGGTATGATTGGCATAATAGCTAGCGCATGATACATAGGAAGTGTCCAAGGTTAGCCCCCTTCTTACCTATTAAGGCCATCCCAGACCACACCCCACATTTGCCTCTCACTACTGGTGATAATGCCAAGCAGTAGAGCCATCTGTTACACATTAGAGTATCCTTAAGTTACTTAAACAATACCAGCATCTCCATTATTTTCTCCATTATTTATTGTTAACACGCTATAGAAACTCTGAAATTACTAGCCTACTACCCCTGTGTCCCTTGTTTTTATGTATGGGGGAAAAATGTGAGTAACTCATTGCTAAAAAAAAAAAAATCATTATCTCCTAACCGTCTAGCAAGTGCAGAACTGTAGGCACACCCTCTTCACAGCTTAAGAACAATTTTACTTTATCTGGGCTTAAAGATACCACCAAGGTGCTACAAACATAGCACTTATGGGTAAAACTGCAATATTTCCAGAATCTCTTCTGGTCTTAGTGCATCTCCATATCAATAGGTGTTTCCAAGGTGTGAAGAGAAGTAGTCCAACTTCGTATCAATAGGTAATTGCAAGGGGGAGCCAAAGGCTTATCTGGGCCAGAGAGGTTGGGTGGGGTCTCTTCTTCTGCAGCTAGGTCTTGAGAGACACAGGAGAGCATAAGTGGACTGCTTGTAAGAAATAGGTGGGTATCTCCCACATTATTTCTCCCTTTGACTGATTTCCATTTCAAAGGTATTTTGCCCCAGGATTTTCCCCCCAGTTACAGCACTAACTTGAGATGTGTTTTGCTGAGGAACCAAGATTTTTCATTTTTTAAATATTAGAAGATACTCTTTTCCAGAATTTTTGATGATATTAACCCAAAGCAGATAATGAAATACTCAAATCCCTGGGAACAGAGGCTACAGTTAAATGTACTGCCCTAATAAGGATGTAAACAAAGTGGTCTGGCAAGGTGCTTGGGATGGTAACAAATCTGGAATACACAGGAGTCATAACCACAGACCACCTTTCTGGTGTCAAGGATTCTGGGTTCAGAAAATATAAGAAATGCTTCTTTAAAAAATGGAGTCCTGTTGATATGCTCAGCCTACCACTCTTAAATCAGAGCTCCAGCAGACCCAGAGGGCGAGGTTCCTTGAGAATTTATGTGTCCACATAGCTCATGGGAATAGAAATGTACACAAGCACAAGGGAGAGTTAAATTTCATTCACTGGAAATCAGTACAGTGGAGACATTTAAGAATAACAATCATATCAAACTAACCTCATTGGTTATTTTACTTCTTATTTTTAGTAAGTAATTAACAGGTTTACAGATCAGTTATTCATTCATTCACATGTCTTATTTTTAAATGCACTGTGTTAATGCCTTAAATGTAATGTATCTGAATTTTAGGAAAACACTTGACAAAGTTATGAGGACAAGATGTGAAATGTGGCTTCTGTGATGGTACAGTCACTTGGGCCCCTGGCATGCTGTAGTAACTCTCCTCAACCTCCTCCTTACTGACAGTATCTCCAGCCAGCCTTCCTCACCTATCCTCTCCAGTTCCTTGGCTCAGGGTTACATGAGAAATAATCCATGTATGATGTCTGGCTTCCAAAGAGTCACGAACAAAGAAATTCAGAATGGGGGAATTTCTGGGAACAGATGAAGTCAATTTCAACCCTAAACAAAAGAAAAATAGAAAGTCCCAGGAAGGAGATTTGGGACTTGAAAAAAATAAAAGGAAAACAGATGCAAGTTTAGATAGGTAGTCAAGGCTTCTCACCCCGAAAGAAGTGTCTTGACTGGAAGATTCTTGTGTGCCTAGAGACTAGAAGTATCACTTTTCAGCCTCAGCCTTTGGTAGGGTGGAAAGCCAAGAATGAAGTTCAACAACATTTTACTCATTACAGTGAAACCAACAAATGTTTAATGGCCAGATATATACTGAAGGCTGTTTCAGTTGTTTGAAATACATCAGTGGACAAAACAGATAAGGATCCCTTCCCTTTGAAATTTACATTCTGGCTGAGGGAAAAAGACAACAAAAATGAACAAGTAAGTGTAGGGTGTATTCAGAGGGAATAAATCCCATAGCAAAAGGAAAGTAGATAAAGGAAGGGTAGATTGAAACATGGTGGGCAGGGCCCTGCGCAGAAGGTGGAAGGGCTATCAGGGCAGGGAGAACCCCTGGAACACAGGCCCTCAGGCAGGGGCATGACAGGGTGTTCCCGGAACTGCAAGGAGGTCCAAATGGGGAGAGGGAGGGAAGGCGAGGACTGTGGGAGAAGAGGTCAGAGGAACTCAGGGGCCTGATCAGGGAGGGCCTTCCAGAGCCAGGCTTTGATTTGGAATGGAATTGGGGTCCACTGCAAGCTTTGGACATGACGTCAGTTATGCTTTAAAAGATTACTTGGGCTGCTTTGTTGAGAACCGCCAGACATGGCAAGAAAGGAGACCACGTTTGAAGGCTATTGTATTAATGTGAGCGAGGGGTAGTGTTGGTGCACCCTGGTGGGTGCGGTGCAGGTGCTGAGAAGTGCTGGATTTCTGGAAATATTTTGAAAGCAGAGACATGGGGATTGCTGTGATTCCAAGATTGTTTGGGTGAGAGAAATAAAAAGAACTCAGAAATGACTCCAACATGGTGGCCTGAGAAACTAGAATTGCTAGCTTGCCTGTGGAGAGAGACTGTGAGTGTATTGGGTTTTAGGGGAACATCAGAAGCCCAGCCTGGACTCTCAGAGTGTGAACATCAAAGAGGGACGTGCTCGGTGGGAGAGTGGGGGATTGTCATGTAAGCTGTTGAATGCATGACCCTGCAGTTCAGGAGAGAGGTCTGGGATAGAGACAGAGATATGGGAGTTGGACGTGGAGGAGATCATTAGTGAAAGGGCAAACAGACTGAGCATGAGCCCTGGGACACCTGACATAGA